ATACTGTAAGGGGATTCCTGTGAGGTGGCTGGCTAATAGAAATGTGCATGCACACAGAAATATCCGCAGAATAGTGACCAGACATGCGCAATCGCACACAAGCACGCGCACGTGCACACGCACAGTGAATCTTGTCACCAGACGGACTATTTAAGGATGCCTCTGCCTGTGCTTAGTGCTGACTGGTCTTCAGCTGTTTCCCTGTGTCCTGCTGTGTTCCTGTGTGATCCCCTTGTTGCTGACCCGGCTTGTTCCTGACCTGACTTCTGATTCCTCTCCTGCCCTGATGCTCGTTCCTGACCCTGGCTCTGTTCCTGACTTCGGCTTGCTTATGATTTGGTACCTCGCTGTCTACCCATTGATGACCCTGGCTATTCCTGTGATGCTGCTCCTGTCTCCGATCCCAGCTTCCTGCCCTGCTCAGGTGCACGCCTGGCTGTCTACTATACCAGCTCTGCATATCGCTACTGTTCCTGAACCGGTGGTTTGCCAGTCTCTTAAGGACTCCAGCTGCAAGCTCTTCAGGCAACACCTGCTGGCACTTGTTCCCCTGGTCCCTAGGCACCCTCTGTTCCACCTCCAGCAGGGTCAGGGCTAGTGACACAAGTGAGGCCGACCTCGTCATTTCAGTCTCCTATATGGTACGTGACACATACTCCAGATACATTTTTACATTATGTCAATTTAATTATATCCAGTATAACAGTGTAGTGTATGTGCACTACTACTTGAGTGGTATACTGTACTGTATTTATTGCAAACCCTTTCTTCTTGGAGTGGTAAATGTCCTCCATGTCATTGAAGACTGCTGAACTCCATCAAAGCACCTTCTTTATTTCCATTTATTTCAATACTAGGGATTAGCTGAACTGCCCTGGGTTCAGATGCCAAATTCAAACCCCATTGAAATCAATGGGAGCTACAGTAAATCTTTTCCATATAAAATGTCCATCTCTGAGCTAATAGACAAGGTGGTATAAAAATATATTATAATAGGTAGGGTGGGCACTGCCCTGGGAAACATATACCAATGCAAAAACATTTTTTTTTTAATTCTATTCAGCCAGGAGCAGTGATTTTTAAAATGCTTGCAGTGGAACTATAATTCCTTTAAATAACATGCCTAGGAGGTGCCCTAATCCTGCCTATGAATGGGTGCATATCTGTGATGCACAGTAAGTGCTGTTCACTTGAACACCCAAACAGCCAAAGTTTAATCCAAAACTAGATTCAGAGCAAACCACCAGCTCATCCCTAATTCATACCTGCCATATTGTGTAGTTTATACATCATGTTTTAGAATGTGCATTATAGGGTCAATCTATAAAAAAGAGTTTAATCTCCTCCTCCTTCTCACCAGCCATGGAAAATCAATACAAAAACTTTACACTGTGACTACATTTTAATTTTTTTTAATATAAAAAGCAGAGTGCAGTGTGGAGCCTCTGATGTCTTGCTATTTGTTCTTTGAATAGGTCATGTGATAAGTTTCTTTTTTCTCCTACCACTCTTTTTTCCACAATTTATTACAATGAATGGGGCTTTGCTTGCTTCAGACTCCCTAAGAAAGTGAAGAGCAAAGCACATTATTAAAGCAAACATCAATACATTATAAATGTCCTGGAGGAGCTTTAATAGAAAAGCAGGGGTATAACTGATTTAGAACCTCTGTTGGGTTTTTATTGCTGCCTGCATACGCACTGGTTACAATTATTCTCACTTCCTGTCTCACTAAGGATAGCAGACATGTCCAGAGTAAGAGAAGACTTCTTTATAAAGGATATAAACATTTCAGGAGGCTGCCATAATTATGGAGATGTAAGTATGCACCAGGAATATTAACTTATGGGGCTAGGAGGTACACTAAGAAGTGTAGCTGTATATTAAGCATGCCAGGTCATCACAAAGTGAAGACCAGGCTGAGTCGTTTAGAGGAGTATGAGCTATAGCTGTATTAGTAGACTAATAATACCAAAAATGGAACTTTTAAAAATAGACATTTCTGTTACAATTTCAAATATAAAATGTGTGATTTTAAAATAGACCATCATTGCATGCTAATCTTACTTTACTGAATGAGGCTACCCCTACCTATTGTAAATGACATTTAGTTAACTAAAAAGGAATCTCAATTTTAGTAGAAAATACATTATGAGCAAATGTTAACCATGAACAGCAATTACAGTAAAATGCATCGTTAAAGTTAATTTCGTATTTGTAAAGAAAATTCACTACAAACAAACATAACTGTCAAATTAAATCTGATTGAAATGTTTAATCGCTGACTATGAAAGTATAAAAAATTTCAATTTAACAGCCAATTTGTTTTACTGCATGAAAGAGTGGAAGAGGATTAACACATCAGCTGCGTAAAACAGCCGTGTGATACCACTAACTGCATTAGTCATAACAGCAGTAGTAAATTACACGTCAACTATATATTTCCAGATGTAGTGTTTTGTGTTGCATAGTCCATCTTTTGCAAATATTTTCTCAGCCACATTATTACAATAACAAATGTGAATTTATTACACAGTTTGCATTGGAGCCTTTGCAACCAAGATCAGTGCATTATGGAAGAAAACACAGGGTTCTGTCTTGGTTAAATATCAGCTGCAGGCCATATAGAGGTACAGACCTTTTGTTATGGGTGTAGAGGAAGGAAACAATTGTGATCTTTGAGTCCCTCTGCCAATGTAGCAGATAGGACTTGTAGTTTCACAGATGGATGGCAAAGTCACACGCAGTCATGAAAAAAATAAAAAAACAAGAAGACAGTTCAAGGAGAAGCATTGTGCTATTCAGGAAATTTAGGGGGAGGTCTGAGGGTAGGGAGTTGGAGAACGGGACCATAACTCATGTTACCCCCTAAGCATGGGTTAACATGAAACATGCTCCCAAAGGTGGGACTATGCTGTAAATGATATTTCATAGAAGGGTATAACATTTCATGGTTATGCCACTCAAAAGTATATAAAAAAACCCCTCCCTCCTAGATTATAAGCTCGAAAGAGTAGGGCCCTCTTACCCCTTGTGTGCTGTTTGATGTTACTGTACTGTTTCATGTATTGTCCCCCCTCTATTGTACAGCGCTGAGCAAACCCTTTGGCGCTATATAAACTCGATAAATAAATAAATAAATAAATAAATATTTGCATGCCTTGATATGTTATCAAACCACAACATATAGTAGACATGTGTTCAAATGTTTCCGATCCAAGCCTGTAAGAAGAATCCCTCAACACTGGAACTCCCAAAGGAAGCCCGACTTTGCTCCACAAACTCAGTGAGAAATCAGGAAGTTGCACACCATCATTCAACTTTATTAAATCTGAACAAAACACACTGCCGTCCCACCTAGGATCATCCCTCTTTAATATTTCATCCAATACAGGCTTGAAAACAGAGATAGTGTTTATTTTATGCACTATACAATCAATCACTGCAACTTAAGTCTTAAAGAGATATGTATCATATAAACATCAAGTTACAAAAATTACAAAACAACTGATATAACATTGTAATTACATATCCCAAGTAAAAATTCATTGCACATTGAAACATTCTAGCAATAACAAAAAACATCTAATAAAACCACATTTTTTTAAATTTTCAACATAAATACAAAGGTTAAAAAATGTAAATGTAAAAAAAAAACACCAAGGATGTGGATAAGTGTAGACAATATAATTATTTATATTTATCCAATTTTTATTTTTGTATTTATCTAATAAATATCAATAAATCTTTAATGAAGGTAGGAAAGGGAAGGAGTGGGGGGAGGTGGAAAAAAAGGAAAAGGGAAAAGGGGATGGGAAAAAATACTGAAGGTTTTAAATAAAAACAAATGAGGACTTTAGTGTTTTTTGTTATTGATAAATGTGTAATGAATTTTGTCTTTGGATGTGTAAATAAAGCTTTGTATCAGCTTGGTGTCATTTTGTGTGACTTGATGTTTACATGATATCAAGATTTTAAGACTTAGGTTGCATTGATTGTATACTGCACACAAGCCATCCCCCCACTTCCCTTGTCTCTGTGATCAAGCCTGTATTAGACAAAACCTATGTGTGAGGTGGTTCTAGTTGGGGCTGCATTTTGGATAGAGTAAGGGAGTATTATAACCCCAGGCAGTTTTTTCTTTTTGCCACCTATGTCTTACTGTGAAGATTTACTTCCACTTCCTGTCCCATAGCCAAAGCAAGGAGTGAGAGGAAATCCTCAAAGTGAGTGAATCTCTTATTGTTACCAGGGTCACCAGAACTAGTGTCTCCACTGAAGGATCTCCCAGCTATTCCTATTCTGGTGATTTTCTTTATCAGTAATAATGGTAAACAGGGTGAATCTCCCCAATGGGGACACGGACAGCAATAAAAACCTGACAAGTATTCTAATCCCTCTTCATCTGAAAAAAAAGTTTTTAATTTATACATACTTTAACTACTTGCCCTCCAGAGGGTTTACCCCCCTTCCTGACCAGGCCATTTTTTTGTGATACGGCGCTGCATTACTTTAACTGACAATTGCACAGTCATGCAATGCTGAACCCATATGAAATGTATGTCCTTTTTTCCCACAAATGGATCTTTCTTTCGGTGGTATTTGATCGCTTGTGCATTTTTTATTTTTTCTGCTATAAACAAAAAAAGACTGACAATTTTGAGAGAAAAACAATATTTTTGACTTTTTGCTATTAAACATGTCCAATAAAAAAAAAAAAATAAAGTTATATCATCTACAAATGGCGGTATATATACTGGAATTTTTTTTCTTTATACTAGTAATGGTGGTGATCAGACACTTATTGTGGTACTGTCTGACTGCAGGACTGCGGTAGGCATTCTGACACTGGGTGGGAACTGACTATTAGAGATGAGCGAAGTATTCAAAAATTCGATTCGACTGATTCGGCGAATTCGTGGACAATATTCGATTCGAGTCGAATATATTCGCTGTGAATTTAACTTAAAAAAGGGTTGTTTCTAGGCTTCAGAGAGACTTAATATTAGTGCAGAACACTGTACCTTTAATTTAAATGCCCTTGGAGTCTGCTGGGGAAGAGAAATAATACTGTCAGTCAGTATGACATGCAGATGAGTGCCGTCGATCTTAGAATCACCGCACACTTCACTCATTTGGCCAGTCACGGGGCCAAAACCAGTGTTTGGAGCCACAGTGTGGCGGTGGAGGCAGCAGCAATGGGAGGCCATACAGCAACCTATGACAAAATGGAAACCAGCAGGAGTGTGAGGAGACCTCAAAGTGGCACATGGCAGAGTGGGAGCAATGGGAGGCGGTACAGGGACCCATGTCACACTGTGGACCCAGCAGCAGCGTGACGAGGCGGGTACGGGGGCCCATGGCAGATTTGGGGCCTGGCAGCACCTATGGGAGGCCTGTAAATCTGCCAGCAACCTATGACAAATGGAAACCAGCAGGAGTGTGAGGAGACCTGAAAGTGGACACATGGCAGAGTGGAGCAATGGGAGGCGGTACAGGGACCCATGTCACACTGTGGACCCAGCAG